CTAGACAATTAGATACTTAGTTTGGCATATCATTTGGTCATGAAACAATTTGTGTTTGACCTGACAAGAAAGTTCATATCTAAACAATTAGATACTTAGTTTGGCATATCATTTGGTCATGAAACAATTTGTGTTTGACCTGACAAGAAAGTGCATATCTAAACAATTAGATACTTAGTTTGGCATATCATTTGGTCATGAAACAATTTGTGTTTGACCTGACAAGAAAGTGCATATCTAAACAATTAGATACTTAGTTTGGCATATCATTTGGTCATGAAAAATTTTGGAAATGTATATACAATTCTCTCTGTTCCTGAGATTAACGCCCATTGATGAGGATGCAATAAGAGCAACTCTTGACGATTCCTGCCAGAATTCCTATTAAATCATGTAAGAGCAGGGGATTTGAAAATCATTGGTTCAAATTTTACATTTTGATGGAAAATGTAGTATTTAGCATGTGATGAAAAATTATTTGCAACAATCACCATCTTAACCCTATGCAAATAACTCCTTTATATTATTGATGGTTGAAGGTGGGTGTTTGTAGTTTTTAAATACAATGTTATGTGCAAATAACTCCTTTATATTATTGACGGTTGAAGGTGGGTGTTTGTAGTTTTTAAATACAATGTTATGTGCAAATAACTCCTTTATATTATTGACGGTTGAAGGTGGGTGTTTGTAGTTTTTAAATACAATGTTATGTGCAAATAAATCCTTTATATTATTGACGGTTGAATGTGGGTGTTTGTAGTTTTTAAATACAATGTTATGTGCAAATAACTCCTTTATATTGTTGATGGTGTAGTTTTTAAAAACAGTGTTATCCTTATTGGTCGGCAACTTTACGATAGAAATTCTAAGATAAATTCATCGAAATATTCTGCAAAATATAGGGATATTTCTTGATTTTTTTGTTTCTGCTGAAAGCATGGGAACCCTGCATTTAATTATTTCTCAAGTTTCATTTTTTTTTACCACTGAATTTTTTTGGTAAACAGAAATTTACTCCATAGTTATTCAAGAAGTACGTAATCTTTTCTTCAAGTGTTACAGAGAGTGAAATATACGGATGATATTTTTGAAGACTGTGTGTGCATTAATATAAAAAATAATTTCAGAATTGCATGGTTATTTGATTATCTTTATTTTTTTTCTTAAGGGAGGGGTTTGGGTGGCCACTGATGGCATTGTGAATCCTTTAGCAGTATGTACCACGTTAGCTCGCCTGGCACAAAGTCAAGGTCAGCTATTGTTAATTAATATTTTTAGTAAGATTCTAATATTTTGTTAATTTTATTGTGTTTTTGTAGAACCTAAAGAGTAATTTTTCCTTATAATATTCACCACAATGATTTTTTTTTTTCACCAGAGATATTATTATTAGTTGAAGCATAATTAATTAAGTGTTTCAGTAAAAATATGAGACAACAATTTTTCAGTAAATATATGAAACTAGACAACAGTGTTTCAGTAAAAATATGAAACAACAATGTTTCAGTAAATATACGAAACTAGACAACAGTGTTTCAGTAAAATATGAAACAACAATGTTTCAGTAAATATATGAAACTAGACAACAGTGCTTTCAGTAAAAATATGAAACTAGACAACAGTGTTTCAGTAAAAACATGAAACAACAATGTTTCAGTAAATATATGAAACAACAATGTTTCGATAAATATATGAAA